AAAAAAGTTAAAAAAAACAGCATCAAAAATCTCATCATTACGATTCCGTTCAAATTTTTTTTTTTTTTTTTCTAATATTGTCATGCAAATTTTTTGAGCTTAAACCGTCTTGTCATTCGAGGGGATTTTTTCAAACAAAAAATTTAAGGAACTATTTTTTATTCATAAAAACTCCATTTTTGGAAGTATTTTGAAATTGGTCCAGCTCACTTAAATCTTAATATTTTTTCGAAATATTTTGGTGGAATTCTTAAAATATAATAGATTTTATAATTCCAATGGAAAAATAGTACCGATTTTTTTTGTATGGGGAGTGATGCAGTCTAATGTACATACATTTGTGTGTATGAAGAAGTAATATTTTTTTCCTTACATTAAAGGTCTCATAACTTTCGGCATGGTAAATTGTTGAAGAAGTAAATAAATTAGCCTTGTGTTTGGAATTTACCGAAACTGGTTAAAGTATTTGGTAATCATATTTTCTCCATATATATTTGGACCATCGATACAAGTAAATCCATGTACATACTCGATACTTTTCTCAATTTACCAAGTAGTTTTTAACTCGATACTTTTTACTGCGATCCAAGTAGGTATCGAAAAAAAAGTACTTGAATCGGAAGCGCCAAACTTATTTTGCTTCAGCATCTTCTTTGAAAAGCAACCCATTAGAGCAATACATAACGGTTGTTGGGTCATCTGTCCCTTACGAAAGGGTTTTCTCAAAACCAGGTACAACTATCAGGCATGCTCTAAAATTCGAAAATTTGAGATCGACTCGACTTCGGTAATTTTTTCGATGGTTTAACCCACAAATTTACAAGTCTGGCATTAAAATGATTTATTTCATATCGTTGCTGCTTCATTTACGGTTTTCAATTAGAATATTCACTCTTTTCATCAGATATATGTAGTTAAAAAAATATTTGGCAAATCGAGTCGAGTTCAAAGTTTCGAATTTCAGAACATGCCCGTATATCAATCCCTCGAAACTGCCTTTCATGAAAACACTTGGAAAAGTTGATTTTCTTGGGGAAATATAACAAAAAAGGATATACTTATTTTCTTAAATTTATTTTATATGATAAAACTTTATCTATTAATCTTGTAAAAATGTATTCTATTGTTTTTGTATGAAAAAAAAAATTAGAAGATAAATAATCTTGTAAAAAAGGATATTTTTTGTGAAAAAAAATCAATAACTTTGAAAAAACTGCAAAATCGTACTTACTCGATACCTTTCCGATACTGAGTAGGTATCGATATCTTGTTTGATAAAAGTACATGTACTTATTTGAGTAATACCTTGATGGTATCGATTTATTCCTACTTTTTGCAGGGTCCTGCACACGTAATGTAAATATGTACATATAAATATACATATACCTACATACATATTTGTTTGGGTGTGAATGGAAAATAAAAAACAAATCGACTGCCCGAGCTCTTAATTTGATCCTTAATTGTCTGCAAAACATTTCACGCCAAATTTTTCACACGCTCTGGTTCGAATCCAAATAGTACTCGCCTCTATTTGCCTGTGTATATGTATGTATGTATAATAATATATATCTATATATTTATGTAATATGTACATATATAACGTATGTATGCACAAGTAATTAGCAGCCACGATCTAACACACCTTCAACGGAAGTGGTCGGATGTGTTCAAACAAAATTTAGTGCAAAAATTTACACCTCTCCCTTATTAAGGACAGTTTGATAGATCAAAATGACTAGTGCGTATAATTAATCAAGTGCCTGATTTGGCACTAAAAAAAAATTGAGAATCTGTTCGTAAGTACGTGTAGGATTTTACACATACATTACATACCTATCGTTGGCTTATGGTGCAAACGTGCTACATTAGTTCATTTTTTTTTTTTTAATTTTTCAAGATAGACAAAAAACCTTCTAACTTTTTTTGTTATTAATATTTTTCTAATCTGTAAATGCTGTTTTATTCCTTAGTTCGTCTTGTTTCGATGCCAATAATCGTCCAATTTCAAAATTACAGCTGTTGCAGACTTATATGCTCTTTTGTGACTTGCCACATTTTCGCTTTATGACTTTGTTCATTCAATCTGGACTTAGCACATTTTCCATCAACATTTTTTTAATTTTTTTATTGTTAAAACATTTAGTTATTTATTTTAAATATATTTTATTGTTTTAAAATGAATAATATCCTAATAAAGTCTTATTTCATTGCTGACAACAAAAATAACTAAATTAAATTTAAAAAAAAAGTAAATTTATGTACCACTTATAAAGGAAAATAATTAAAAACAAGTAAAGAAGTATAAGTTTGGGCGATACTGAACTTTATACACCCGGTCCATTTATCAAATATTGTCGTTTCAACTTTCTCTAAATTTACCGTTAGATATACGGGAAGCGGATGTAATTTTGGTCCGATCTGAATAATTTTCAACAAATTGCTTTTCCCTACCAAGGTTATTAAGTGCACCAAGTTTGGTAAAAATGGATTAATCGGTTATCTAGTTACACATTTGTGGTCATAAGTGGGCGACGCCACGCCCATTATCCAAAAGTTTATAGTAATCCAATTTCCTGCTAAGTGGTTATCGCAATCATCAATTTTAAACGAATTAGCTTTAGTAGTTATTGATTTATCGCAGTTTTCGTGTTTCTGTAAATTACCGTTATATGGTAGATGCCGTAGTCATTGCCCGATTTCAAAGATTTTCAACAGATTTCTTAGCTAGAACTTAAGTAAGGCTCGCACCGAGTTTAGTAAAGATTGGTGATTGGGCTACTGAGATACAGCATTTCATCATAAGTGGGCGGAGTAACGCCCATTTTTCAAAAATTCTATAATAATATTTTTTACCAAAATTCTATTTCACATACTAATTTTCAACAACTTGCATCCAATATTTACTGAAATATCGTAGCTCTTGCATTTTTCGCAAACACATTTATATGGGAAGTGGGCGTGGTTATAGTCCGATTTCACACATTTTCAATTTCAAAATACCTTGGATAAAGGACAACCTACATCTCAAAATTCGTTGAAATATCTGGAGTTAACGTGGACACGGACAGACGTGTTTACATTTTTTTCTTGATTTTTTTGGTCTTAGCACATTTGCATAACAACAAGTAAAAACGACATTACGGTAACTTTTTTTTTGTAATGAAGTATTTTGAGTTCTGCTATTTTACTGCATTAAAATCTCAATTTTCATAAAAAGTGAACTTATCACGTTCGCACACTTAGCCAACGATATCGGCAAGGGATGGCAAAAAAAAAAATAAAATAATCGCTTAACTAATCATATGATTAATCACAAGCCATTGCAATTAATTGCAATTATTGAGAAATAAACGACTAATCGAATTTTTAAATGAACTTTTTTGCAGTGAGCATTCACAAAAACACCTTTCCATAAAAAATTTCAAATTCTCTTGTTAATTAGCCTTAAATAAAATAAAACGAGTATTTTGTAGCGGCGAGAATCATTTATTATTTAACGAAGTTTGCAAAACCAAGCGGTTAAGCAGTTGCTCGGTGGCTGTAGCACCAGCTTTTGAAAAAAGGCGCTCGGCTCAATTTTCATTTCGACCCAACGTCGATGATTTCCGCTTTAGTTCTTGAACTTGACAAATTATGTAAATAAAAACTGACTTCTTCTTGTGGGTGACCCAAGTCATCATCTTTTCGCCTTCGTTTATGTACAAGAGATTTATTAGGGGCCCACGCTAAGGGGAAAACGCTAACGGATGTTTTAAATTAATTTTTTTGAACCTCGGGTCGAGTAAAGTTGATCCAGCTAGCAAAAAAGAATTTCCGATGGATGGATTTTAGACAACTCAGAATTGATATTTCTTCAAGATATTTTTACGATTATTTTACAATTAATCGATTAATAATCGACTAATGAAACACGAAACTACGATACAATTAAATCGTAAATTGAACAAGAATAATCGATTAATTAAATCAAATGATTAATCGCTACCAATAATAGTCTCCAGATTCTACATTCAAGCCTTTTATTTCGCTGGAGGAATCTAAAATTATTTCTAGGTTGTCTATAAGAGTTTTAGCAGTATTTGTTGAAGGTAGTCGACTTTCTGCCCATGTACACATTCGCATTCGTAAAACATCCATATCATTTGATGCGAATGCGAATGTGTAAAATGGTGCGAATCATTCGCATAACGGAAGGAATGCAAATATTCACAACATCACTGATACATATATGTATATATATGAATAATAATAAAAATATATACATATATACATATATAAGAAATAAAAAAATAAATAATTATATTTAATAAAACAAAAAAACTAATACATGTAATATAAAAAAGAAATTAATTAAAATTGAGTTATATAAATTAAGATTTGTGTACCGAAAGAAAAGGAAAAATTTAACTTGAGTTCATTAAACTTTAATATTATAATAAAAAAATAATAATAATTAATTCATTAAATTAAACAAGTGATATATTTTATTATATTTTTAAAAGTTTGAAATTAAATTGATCAAATTGTAATATTCTTGCATCTGGAAAAGAGAAAAAAGAAAGAAAGAAATAAAAATTTAGTATTTTTTTAATAAATAAATAAGGAAAGAGAAAAAGGGGAAAATAGAAATATAAATTGGTATGTATACAGGTAAGCAATCGAAATAAAAAAATTAGAATGCTAATAAGTATAAAACTATAATTGCTAGAATTATATAAACTAGATGTAATAAAAAAGAGAAATTAATTTATTTACATAAGTTGCAACGAAAAACGAGAAAGGAGTAAATTTGAGTTCATTTAAATGAAATATTTTTTTCTGAAAAAAAAAATTAAATAAATTGTATGTAAGCAATCAAAACACAAAATTGGAGCACTAATAAGTTACAAAATACAGCCAAAATCAGCTATATGGACTTCGTCTCTCGATTTGATTTTATTTTTTCCCTTTTGGGGTTGCTATTCTATTGTGACCAGCATGAGAAAGAAGAAGAAGAAGAAATTGTCAAATTACCCCTACATCTGTATTACCAGCACCGCATGCGTGGATATTTCTTTGGCGATCCGAATCGATTTTGTCAAGAGCTTGGAAAATGCCAACCATTGGAGTTAAACGAGATTTGCTCTTCGAGCAGCTGGGTAAAAAATACTGTGAGTTTCATTTACTATATAAGGTCATTTAAAGTTGCATCCCAAGGCTACAAAAACTTGTCTACTTTCTCCCAGCTGATGATGAGTTCCAGCAATTGTGCTTTGCCTTTGGCCTCGAGCTGGATGAAGTGGTGAGTTCTTGTGCTGTAGATCATAAGCATAAATCAATAACGAGACATTGCTATCATTTTGCTTGTGTGATTAAATAACACAAGCCCTTATTTCTTAATGTCACTCCGTTTTACAGACGACGGAGAAGCAAATGCTAACCAAGGAACAAGGTGATGTGGCAGCAGTGGCCGATGCCTCGGAAGAAATTATTTACAGAATAGACATTCCGGCAAATCGTTATGATCTATTGTGCCTTGAAGGCTTGGTTACATCTTTACTTGTTTTCCAGGGCAAGTAGGTATTTGATTATAACTTACGGTATACAGTATATTCGATTTTAACCGAATTGGGAGTTATTTTCAGAATTAAGCCTCCTACGTTCGGATTAGTGGAACCGGCACAGAGACAAGTCCTTAAAATTCTACCCGAAACTGCACAAATTCGTCCCTTTGCCGTGGCTGCTGTTTTACGGAATATCACATTCAACAAACAGGCTTACGATAGTTTCATTGAACTCCAAGACAAGCTGCATCAAAATCTTTGTCGTAAACGATCCCTCGTCGCCATCGGAACTCATGATTTGGATACAATTCAAGGGCCTTTTACTTACGAAGCCCGCGCGCCGGAGAGTATTGAATTCATTCCTCTCAACCAAACGAAAAAAATGAATGGCCATGGGATAATGGAATTTTATTCCACCCATGCGCAATTGAAACAATACTTACCAATTATTCGAGATTCAACAGTGTATCCTGTCATATACGATGCAAATGGTGTTGTGTTATCATTACCACCCATCATCAATGGCGATCATTCTAAGATCACTTTACAAACTCGCAATGTTTTCATCGAATGCACGGCAACGGATCTAACTAAAGCAAAAATCGTGCTGGACACTTTAGTGTGCATGTTCTCCGTGCATTGTAGCGAGAAATTTACCGTTGAGCCATGTGATGTTATACAGCCCAATGGAACTGTAGTTACTTATCCCGAACTGAAAGTACGCCAAAAGGAAATATCAGCACGGAAGGCAAATGCCAACATTGGTATACAGGAGGAACCAGCAAGTATTGCTGATATGCTTACCCGCATGTACTTAGAATCTGAAGTGACAGAAGGCGGCGACAATATACTGGTGCGAATACCTCCAACACGTCACGATGTTCTGCATGCTTGTGATATTTACGAGGATGTGGCTATCGCTTATGGTTACAACAATATAAAAAAATCATTGCCAGCTTTCATGCACATAGCCAAACAATTCCCATTAAATAAGCTGACTGAGCAGCTAAGAGAGCAAGTGGCACAAGCAGGTTTTACCGAAGCAATCACTTTTACACTCTGCTCACGTGACGATATCGCAAGCAAGCTAAATAAATCCATAGATAGTATAGCTGCAGTGCATATTGCCAATCCAAAAACACTTGAGTTTCAAGTAGTGCGTACCACCTTGTTGCCGGGATTACTAAAAACTCTGGTGGCGAATCGTAAAATGCCGCTCCCACTAAAACTATTTGAAATCAGTGATGTTGTGGTGGCCGATGATGAAACGGAAGTTGGTGCGCGCAATGAACGTCGCCTTTGCGCAGTCAATTGCAACAAAACTGCTGGATTCGAAGTCGTACACGGTCTACTTGATCGCGTAATGCAATTGTTGGAGGTACCATGGAAATCGGAAAATCAAAGGCATGGATATTACTTGCAGGCGGCCGATGGTAAGTAGGCAATATAATTTATTTTCGTTTACTACTCACCAATACTTCTTAGATCCCGCCTATTTCCCAGGGCGCTGCGCAAATATTATGCTTAACAGCGTGGCAATTGGCCGAATAGGTGTACTGCATCCTACAGTACTGCAAGCTTTTGAGCTGACCACACCCTGCTCGGTTGTAGAGTTCAACATTGAGCCGTTCGTATGACAGCGATACCCGGATATGATAAAACATTTGCAAGGTGGAACATAAAGTTGCTAGTTCCATGCATAGAATTGAAATGAATGTATTCAAAGAAGTCCCTTTTAAAATATATGTATTTAATAAAGCTTAAAGCAGACGACGCATTGTTTTTCTGTTCTTTTGAAGACACACAGACTAACCGCTCACTGCATAAATTTAAATAAATATTGTAGAATACATAATATTTAGACGATTTGGCGTTATATATATATTGTTTCCCGCATACATAGTCAGTCAATAAACTTTAGGAACAGGAAATTTTTCACAATACCGACAGCTATTTTTTTTTTTATTTAATTTCTAGTTAATTTTTTATAAAAATATGGTTGATTCTACAACAAAACCCCCAAAAATAAGAATTCCACATATGCAAAAAAAAAATTAAAGAAAATTCTGCAAATTTTCATCCAAATATTGCATTTTTTATTTACACGCTTTAGAAAAAAAGCTGAGTACGCAGTTTTTTAGCCCATTCCATTTTAGTACATACAACAAAGTGCAAGTTTAAGGTAGCTACCATTGATTTTTAGCAATTTTTTTCGTTCGTTTCTCCATATAAAGTAATGTTCGATAATTTTTTTTAATGAACAAATCCTCGATACCTTCAACAAAAAATTTGCCAAAAATTTAATTTTGCACAAGGTTTGGAACTCTGAACTGTGGGGGTTTTTGTTGTAGAATTAACCATATTATAAAAAATTAGCGAGAAATAAAATATTTAAAAAATAGTTGCCCGTATTCTAAAAATTCGCTGTACCTAAACTTTATTGACTGACTGTATATTGTGGCGAGACGACCAACATCATCCGCTTCGTAATGAACTGACATCCAGATACGTGGAATGGCTCCAACTCGGCTGGAAGGAAAGTCAAGTGAAAACTTAACCGCATATGGGTTGCAAATGGGCAACGCCACTGAAATGAAAATGTATATTTTTAATAGCAGCTATAGTTAAGTTCTATAAAGTTGAAGGTAATAAAATTTTGAAGAACCAGCAACTAAGACTTGAGTAAAAAGAAGCTGAAGAAATAGTTGGAAAAAGAAATAAATTATCTCGTATCAAAATTTCTGCGGCAACCACAAAAATGCAGTTGCCAATATAGCAAATCAGTTGCCAGCTTTCAGTGTTCCAGTTGCCATCTGAAATACCATTTCAGCCATTGGCCACCCAACTGAAGTTCGGTTGCAATCCGTAATAGACCCACAAGTCGACCTAAATCCGCCGTTCTCAAACGAGCAGCACACCAAAGCATAGCGCGATATTCACAACACAGTGTGAACCAGCCCCAACATACTCCGCGATAACATTGTGCTCGGCGACCGCCCCCACCAGCCATCAGCACAGGGGAAGTGGCAGCATACAAGGCAATTGGCCGGCCGGTTCTAAATTACGCAGCACCAGTGTGGTCGCCGGGGACGAATAGGACTCCGTCGATGAAGCTGCAGACGGTAAAAACACAGCACTTCGGACAGCGACCGCATGTCTTCTGATGCAGAACATCACCTGTATGACGAGGCGAAAATGCTCCCCATAAGGGAGCACAGCACAATGGTCTGCAAGCTATTCTTAGTAGGGGCAGACACTTGTTTGCAGAGGGAGGAACTGACGGACGAAATACAGAAGTTCATAAAACAACCTCTGGACCCGTCAGTATACCGACAGGCCCTGAGCGACATTCACAGGGAGTCAGTCTCAAGTTACGTAGACTCCAGACCTGTGAATGCCGTTCTGGGCACACAACCACCTGACGTCGACGAGACGGAGCTTCGTCTGCCTCGGGAGACTAGAACCACCACTTCGCTCTGGCTAGATGCAGATGTACCAAATAAGTGTCGGGCATGCGGAGAGACACCCCACGACTCGAAACATCTCTTCGTTTGCCCGGAAACCCCCACGCAATTAACGCCTTTGTCTCTGTGGGCAGACCGTATAGAGGCTGCACGCTTCTTTGGTCTTCCGTTAGTTGAGCTTGACGACCACTGAGTTACAAGCCGATCTGGGCGGGGTTCTTGTAGCCGATACAACAACAACAGGGAAAGCGCCATTAGGGCGAGACGCAGTGCGCTCTGGCTCAACTTAAGTGTTACAGGCGCCTCGACAGCTACCTCACGGGCCTAAAATTCGACGAGGTAAAACTGTAGGTAAGCAGTGCGCGCTTCCACTCCACAATGCCTGGGTTCAAACCCTGGTCAAAGCAACATCGCAAAAATATAGAAAAAAGGTTTTTTCTTAACAGCGGTCGTCCCTCGGCAGGCAATGGCAAACCTCCGAGTGTATTTCTGCCATGAAAAACAGCTTCTCATAAAAATACAATCGCCGTTCGGAGTCGGCGTAAAACTGTAGGTCCCTCCGCTTTGTGTGACAACATCAAGGCGCACGCCACAAATCGGAGGAGAAGCTCGGCCAAACACTAACATATGTGTAAGCGCCAATCTATTATTATTATTATTAAAACTGTAGGTTCGTATATTTCAATTTTTGTAAATTTTTTTTTATATGGTGTTCTTTGATCATTTAGTTGCTGGCTATTGTACTAAACGGCTTGCTGGTACATATATCCCACCATACAAGGCCTGAAACTTCCTATACTGACTCAGTTTTAAAATGGTATTCCAAATGAGCGCTGGTTGCAAATCGAAAAATTTTAGATCAGTCCAGGATGTAACGAAAACAATCAATTTGTAAACGCCATAACCATAAGAATGGGTTAAAATACTATGTACTTGTTATTGTTCCCCGCATGTGAAAGAAGTATTTCTGGTTTACTTTAATTTAATTTTATTTATTTTTTCTTGTTTTTGTATGTTCATCAGTATAATCATTTTTTTTTATTATCGATATTTTGCTGCTCGTAAATCCTATTTTCTGCTTTTGTGTCTGTAATATAATTCTTGTTGTTTTTAGCTAAGTTTCCTCTGCTGCGTTTTGCTATTCCGGTTGTGGTAACTGTTCATTGGTTGCACATTTGAAACTGTTCAAGTTTAATCATATTTTTGTTACTAAACCACTTATATATAGGGATTCATATTTTGTTTTTTGTTTTTTTTTGTTTTTTATTTAGGTTGTATGTATTATGTTTTCAATATACCATCAGTATCCATCAGTAGCATCGCTAATATAATCAATAATTGTAATTATAATATATTTATATAATATTCATTATTTATAATAATAATTCATAGTGATCATTACAAGTATAGCGATAATAGTAATAATCGTATTCAACGGTAATCATCATTACGTTTTTATTTTCTTTGTGTATATAGTTATAATATTAATGCTTAGCGCGTAAACAGCAGTTACTTTATTTTTATTTTTTATGTCCATGACATCATAATCAACATTATCATCATCATCATCATCATCATCATCATCATCATTGCGTTAGTCCTCAGCATTTTTAATTTTGCTTTGCTGTTGTATCGGTTTAGTTTGAGTACTGTTTTTATTCAGTGTTTTCGCGCTTCGTTGGAGTGTAAGACAGGAATTTCCTCACCGCTGGCTTTAAGCTGCTCTCGTACGCTTTTAGCAATGTGTTTTTAGTAATCGTATAATCAACAATAGATTATTATATGCAAAAGTTTTATAATTTCGTTTTTGCTTTTTCGTCAATTATATTAAGCAGCGCGAATTTTTAAGTAAGTTTCTTTTTAACGACTGTTTATTATGCAGTGTTATAAGATGCCTACAATTTTTTTTTTAGTTGAGTAGAGTGTAGGACGAAAAAAGCGAGCTGGATTTTTGTGTTTCAGTTAAATTCTTTTCTTTTTAGATTTTATGAAAGCGAAAAAGGCATTTAAAAGAAGAAAAAAAAAAATCTGCATACATATGCATGTGTGGGCGTGTGCAGTGACGCAGGTGTATGAATTTCTTTTATTAATTTTACGCATTGCCTGACCAAATTTTTTATTTTGTTTTTGCCAAATATATTTATGTTCATTAATTTAATCTAATATTTTTCAATTTCTACTTTTAATTTTTTTTTTCCTTACGCACTTATGTATGTATGTATATTAAGCAGCAACTTGTTTTGCCTTAGTACTAACATATATGTATGTATGTGTTTCAAGTTTAAATATGCGCTTACGTCTTCTAGAGAAATACCATTAACTGTATGAAGGGTCTATGCATAGTTGCAGAATATGTAGATAGGTAGTATATAGTATGTATGTATGTATGCGTATGCATATAGGAATTTGCATATGTGTATGTTTGCATATCTGTACCCCCATGAACAGCAATATGTAAGGGTCATAGCATCTAATCGTATGCACTTGTGAATAATAACACTTAAAACAAAAACCATCCCGAATTTATTTGGGCTTAAATAGACAATAAAGGTTTGCTCTGGAAGTTGTTGGCCGATGAATATAAATAAGTGAATTAATTGTCAAGTAGCTTAATTCAATACTACATAGCTGCACAGAAACGTATTTTTTGAATACAACAGGGGAGCAGGGATACCACTCAACTCGATGTACATAACAATAAAACGCGCAAAATAGTTAAAAGGCAATGAAAAATATAAATTTCGTTAAAAAGTCCGCTGAGCACTATTCCGAAATCATTGGATGGCCATTGTGCTCTCCCAACAATCCTCTTGTTAAGCAAGTAGGTTGCGCCCTATTATATGTAGGATTAACAATAAAAAGCGCCAGCTGAAAATAAATTAACCCAAGCCCTTGCAAATCAAAATATTACTTGCGTTGTAACCAAAAATAATCCCAAACGATACAATAGATGTGTTTTTTTTTGTTGTAATTTTCACTTTTTCTGCTTACTTGCTTTGTTATTTTCTATATGAATTTCATTATTTCATGCATACAAATATATAGTTCAAATAATAGATAATATATGTATGTAGTTTATAATATATGTAGTATATAGGCAAAGTAACTAAAATCTAATAAAAAAAAAAATCAAAATTTTACAAGTGCAAACCGATTGTAAATTTGCCATGTATGCGCAGCATTCAAGGCGCCGTGGCTCATTTACGTGCAACACGAAGAATATATGTATGTAATTGTTGTATGACTGTATATGGGGGACGACATAGTAGTGTCGCATAAACATTTTTGACCTTCTTCATATGCGCCAATACAATGTTTTGTAAAACGAAGTAGACGACTTCGTGAATATTGAGCGCGTTGCATTTCGCGTTATGTTTACGTAGTTTTCATTGCCTTGCTTTTGCTTGTTGTTCAGTTTCGATATATCGTACGCTTCACTTTCTTTACTCCGCTTCTGAGCACAAATGAGCGATAAAAGAAAATAGTTGATTAAATCGTTTTTTCGTCGCTTTCTTTTGCTAACGGATTTATGTTAAAGTAATTGAATTCTGTCAGTTGTTGTTGTTGTTGGTATATGCTTTTCTTTTTTAATAATAATTAATATGTATTTTTCATTTAATATTCATATTCATTCACTGCTTTTCAGCTTAATCCAAAGATATATACGTATATACGCGTAGGGTAGCTAAGTATGTATGTATATATGGGTAATTGTTTTTTTTTTTTTTGTTTGTTGAGTGCGTGTATCTTATGTGTATGTGTATATGTTGTAAAAGTAGCATTTAGTAGTTATATGAACTTTCGTTTGTTTTCCTTTTTCCTCCTTTTCTCCGTTTAGTTGTTTTTCGCTGCTTACGAACTCTTTTATTCAAAATTCATTTTAAAACTTTTGATGACAATTTTACACCTTCCTGCATTGGCTTTTGTTGTTGCTGCTTCTGCTGCTGGTGTAGTGGTAGCTGCTGCTGCTGCTCATTAAAACATCAGTTTGCCCAATTGTGCCACATCTGAAAGCATAAGTAATATAATATAAGACCAATTTTTCAAAAAAAAAAAACGTTGATCAACAGAAATTTCCCGAGGTGAATCTTTTAAGCGACGGTAGTGAATTAAAAAATCTGCACGAGAAAATTTTCAAATTTGGGATACAACGGAAGGCACCTCTTCCCAGCCGGAACTGACTTCGGAATCCTCAATTGCTTTGCTTACGTACACAGTAGTGATGGGCATACTTAAGTACTTTTGAATTTCAAATACCAGTTTGGATACTCATTACCCAAATATTTCATATTTTTTACTCAAGTAAAAAAAATTTTGGTATTTAAGACTAAAAATTTCGATAATTTCGAAATAGCCATAAAAATCGAGTAGTCTCAATCCCGACACAGTCCCGTAAATCACGATCTATAGTCCCGAGAATAGCGAAATAGTTCCGAGAATCTCGAAGTAGTCCCGAAAAACTTGAATTAATCGAAAATCGAGAAGTGGCCCCAATGACCCGAAATAGACCGAAAATCTTGAAATTCTTTATTAACCTATAGGAAAATAAGTAGGTTATGAATTCGTCTGGATATTTTTTTCATGTGTGTAATGATAGGTATTTCAAGAATTTTTAAATTTAAAATAGGATTAATAAGAATCAAAAACACGCGTAAAAAAAAGGAATTACTAACCAGCAAAACTGAAAGAGTTAAGTAAAGCCCTCAAAATGAGAAAGCGTTTATTGCAGCTTTACGATCCCGAAGTCAGCCTAACTATGTTCCCCATATATAACTTAGAAGTTCCAGTTTTATTACCTGCTTATCGTGGTCCCACATTTCGAGTTTGTCCGACATCACATGCGGCATGTCAGCGCCCTGACCCAGGTACTGATACCCATAGGGTGGCATTAGGTTCATGGCTGTATTCTGCTGCAGATTGTGTGGTGGTGCCATCGAGTTGTGATAGTCCAGCGGCATCTAAAGGAAAACCCTTGCAATAACATTTGGCATTCTCATAATTTGGCACCTCAAACTTTTACTTACATGAAATTGATCTTGATGATGATAGTCGGTGGGACCGCCTGCCGGTCCACCCATGCCGCCTAGCCCACCACCGGCCGCGCCGCCACCGTAAAAACGATACTGTTGTTTCATCCAATTCGAATGCTGTTGCGGTTGCTGTGGCGGTGCTGCTTGTGGTGGCTTGTCCATCATCCACGGTCCGTGCATCAGACCTGCAACACCTGCATGCATGCCAGAGCCCATGCCCTCGTCCAAGCCGGGACCCGGCATGCCCCCGCCGCCGCCCAGATTCATTGGATAATTGTTGCATTTCCACGAAGCGCGTTCAGTACCAATGGGGCGAGGCATTTTACGCATATCCTCCTGTTGTTGCTGTTGTGCAGCGACATGCTGTTGCAGCAGATTGCCGCCAACAGCTACTTGGCTGGGTGACATTGCAGCCGGAGAATTGTTACCTGCACCACCAAGTCCACCATTTTCCAAATTCAACACGTCCATATAGCCGCCATACCAACGCTGCGCTGCGGAGTTCGGCGCCTGTGGTCCATTTTGTGGCTGCGACTGAGCACGCGCACCGGGCGCCAAATTTGAACCTGGCGCCAATGACTTGCCTGTGGGGAAATTTGGGTTTGTCTGTGGAGGCGGTGCTTGCTGGTGCTGTTGGTGGAATATACCACTGCCCAACAAGGGTTGCTGTTGTGGTGGCTGGCCGATGGGTGGTTGCGGCATCGATCCTATATTGCCGCCCGGACCGCCGAAAGAAGAGTTGCGCATATTAAGACGTGATAGTGGATGACTGCCGTTGCCACCGGCACCACCCACGCCGCCATGCATTTGCATGCCATAAGGTGGCGGCATTTTCACATGATGCCCCATGCCAGCATTGCCACTAACACCCAGGGGTTCAAAGAATCGATTCAATGGTTGCTCCCCAATGGCTCCGGGTGGACCATTGTTGTTGTTACGCGTCGAGTGATTGGGACCGATGGGGCCGAAATTCATAGTAGGTGGTTGCGTGCTAGCTGCGCTGCCATCGAGTGTGCCGACATTAGCCGAAGGTGGTGTATGAGAGGCATTGATGCCGCTGGATCTATGCTGCTGGTTACTATTTGGTGGCGGGCGTTGTATTGCCAAGCCACTTGCGGGTATATTTGATGGAGCGGCATTGTTTGATCCCATTGAGGTGTTTGCTGACGGCGGTTGACCAATAGGCGCAGGCGGCTTGATAACTCCTGGAGAAATGTGCGCCTCCGCGCTGTTGCCTTGAGAAGGTATCTGCAAATCTTTAGCGGCGGTACTAGCGCCACCGCCCAAACTGATACCCATATCAACTCGATCGGCAATATTTGTTGTGGTAATTGTGGTATTTTCGCCACTTGACGCCACCGTGGTTGCAGTATTCATACCTGGAGAAGAGCCAGTTGTTGAAGTACCGCCTGACATACTGGTAGCATGCATGCTGTGGCTCGATGGAGGTGGGGCTGCATTGCCCGTACTGCCAACAGGTGGCTGGTGACTGCCTATTGGCGCAGGCATCACATTGCTACCTGGCGGTGAAGTAGAGTGGCTTGAGGAAGCTTTCGAACTCCCGCCTACTGGCGAATTCAGAATATTGCGATTATAGCCTGGCGCCTTAGATGCGTCTGCTTTAGGCAGCGGCTCACTGACCAGCGCTGATGGTGAATTGTACATTTGGACGTTGTTGTCGCCCCATTGAGATTGGTAGTTGAAGAAGAGCGTATATTCGTTACTAATTTTAGAAGCGAGCTGTGCTCCAAAACCTCCGCCGCCACCTGTGGCGTTGTTCATTCCCGCGTGGTTGGCATTATCAGCGCTCGTTGCTGTTGGCTCGGCACAATTGATAACAAGATGCTGCTGCATATCCGGTGCAGAACCCATTGGCGCTTGTAATGCCGCAGCCGCAGCTACATGTTGCAATTGAGCTTGTGGCTGTTTCTGGGCTTGCTGCTGCATTTGTGTGGGCTGTTGATTCGACTGCAATGCCGATGTTGCCGTTACTGCTGGCAGCGGTGAGCCAACGTTTCGCTTGTTAGGCGGTCCTATTGGAGTGACGGCACGCGTGCCGGGTGCAGCTGCGAATACAGTTGTCGATGTTGTTGTTGCTGTGCTGGTTGTGCCTGTGGTCATTGTTGGTGCTGTTGTCGTAGTTATGCTGGTTGCGTTTGATACGACCGTGTTTGTAGCAGAAACTGTGGCAGCGGCGGCCGCGGCAGCTGCTGCGGCTGCTGCAGCGTTCACTGCGGCTACCTCGGCTGGATTGAAAACTCCGATGGGGCCAGAGAGCGCATTATTGTTATTACCAGCACCTGCTCCAAGTTGAGGCACAGAGTTGGAGCTACTGGGCATGGGCTTACCACGGCCATAGGGCGCACTTGCGCCAATGCGCCCGGCATTGTTGCCGTCGCCAACTTTCTTTGACGGCGAATTGTGTGAAATGTGCGCAGATGCTGCGCCACCTGTGGTGACAGTGCCGCTTAGTTTGGCGGCGAAAGTTTGTGTGTTAACAACGGTGTTACTGCTGCGTTCGCCACCGCTAGGGTGCTGCTGTTGCTTAGCGGCAATATTACCCTTTTGAGCATGAACTGAACCGCCGCTACTGCCGTGGCTTGAGCCTGTAGATTTGTTTGCACCCGTTGCACTCGTTATATCTTGAGATTTAGCCTTCTGCGTGCCGATTAAAGACTGCGACTGACTGCCACGACTTCCCGCTTGCTGTTGCTGTGAGTGGAAGGATGATTTGGCATTCTGTGAACGCGCGGAACTCGATTTACCGGTACCTCCGCTAGACTGCGATTTGCCACCTTTTCCTCCGCTGCCGACACCGGCTCCCTTGGGCCCACCGGGGGCACCACCTCCAACACCACCGCTGCCGGCACCACTATTGGCCGACTGTAAACTGCCCCCGCCGCCAGCTGTATTGCTACCTACGTGTGCGCCAGTTGTTGATGCCGATGAAGATGTTGAAGAAGCCGTAGATGCTGCCGATGACTGTGCTGCGGTTGCGGTCTTGTTGTCCCAAGTACCGACGCTGAGCGGCAACGAAGATGCTTTTATGCTGGTGTTGATGCGTGGCAGCATCTGCAGTATATCTACGTCTGGGTCTTTGATGAGTGCCAGGATAAGCATGTGTGCCTGCTTCGTGGCATCAGTTTGTCCTTTAATGGTAATGCTGCGCTCGGACTGGTTTTTGCCCTGCTTCTCCACCTCAATGTGAGCGCCAGTGGTGGCGCGTATTGCATTTATGTTGCTGCCTGCGCGGCCGATCACACGCGAGATAGCATTGACCGGCACTTGTACCTTCTTGCAAGTCATTTCAGTGGCAGCTGCAGGTGCTGTTGTGGGTGTGGCACCAGGGGCGCTAACCGCGGCGCTGACGGATGCTATGCTGGCTGCGCTTGCCGTTGTGGTTGAAGAATTGGTCGTGGCACTTGTAGTGGATGAAGCAGCACTGCTTTGCTGAGTGGAGCTCTTACGTACCACTTCCTTCCAGCCGTCTTCGCCGCGTTTTGGCGGAGTGGATTTATGTTGCACTGCGCCCGGTGCGGCGGTGTGGTCGTCGTGCTTACCGCCCTTGATGTCGTCACTTGCTGCAGCAGCGCCACCGGCAATGTTGCGTGTGGCAGAGAAAATTAGTGATTTTCGCGTCGATAGGTTGCTGTTGCCGGTACCAACTCCCCCGCCAGCGGCGCTATGTGATCCATAGCTATTTGAATCGTGCAACTTGTCTTTGTCGACTTTTGCTCTCTCTATGGCGACGTGCTGGCTGTGGTGTTGTTCGCGTTCGCGGTCGCGGTCACGCTCACGATCCCGCTGCGATTGGCGTGTGTTGCTGGGCTGTGTCTCTTTCGGTGCAAGGTTTTCCTTCTCGCGTTGCTTGGTGCTGTCGCGTTTCTTGTTCGCCTCATCTTTGCGCACGGTATTCTGCTGCGCATCGGTTTTTTTGGTTGCTACAGGTGCGGCACTAGACTTTGCGGCGCCCTGCGTATTTGTTTCGGCGGTATTTGCGGCGCTCTTCTTCGAACCGACGTTAATCCCTTTCACTGGCGCCTGCTCTTGCTCTCTGTCCTGTTGCTTTCTGGCAGAAGCGGGCTGCTTGGCCGCGCTTCTACTTGGCTGCGCTGGGAGCTCTTCGACCACGACAGTCGCTGCTGCTACTGCCGCATTAGCCTGCTGTGCGCTGTTGCTATCATTGCTGGTATTACGTTGTTGTAGCTGTTGTGATGCACTCTTTTGCTTTTTCTTATTCTTGCTTGTCTTTCCATTTCTATCGGCTTCACGTTGTTGGGCACTGCTATTGACGCTGGCAGCACTGCTGCCCACAATAACCGTCTTTATTTCTGTGCTCGAACAAGAGCCTTGATCTATACCGGAGTCACCTTCTTCGCGGTAGTTCTGCGCGTTTGGAGTATCGTCCTCATCCTCAAGCGCATTCTCTTCATGATCACTGTCATCATCTTGATCAGAGTCCTTTTCGTCGGCGTCGGCGTTTGATCCCGACATTTGACTGCCGTTGCCTCCCTCCATTTGTCGGCGCTTTTCTTCCTTCTTTTCCAACTTCTTCTTCTTCTTGCGCTCACGACGACGCGCGGCAGCCGCTCTGCGACTCTCTTCGCGCGTTCGCTCATTATCAAGCTCTTTCAGTAGTATGGAAGCGTTTTGGTTGGCTTTCACGGCCTGTGCCTCCTTAGCGGCGCGTATGAACTTCATACAATCAAAACATTTCTCCGACAGTTCCTTATCACTGATGGTGCTAATGAAGCGACTCATCTCCTGATCGGAAGGGAATTGTGTCACATACTGCACCATCCATTTAACCACTTTGGTGTGGCCCTTGCGGAAAGCAGCCATAAGACACGACACACGACGATTATCTTGCGAATCAATGTCTGCATGATGGTTATACAATATCTCAACAACACTCAAGTGGCCACCATGTGCCGCTAGCCAGAGTGGTGAATTGCCCTTTTTATTCTTTACTTCGACGGCCGCTCCACGTGACAGCAGCAACTCCACAAACTTTAGATGACCCTTATCAGCTGCAATAGTAAGTGCTGTATCACGTGATGTCGGTACTGGAGCCGCGTTCACATCGGCGCCCTTGTCCAACAGCACACGTCCCACATCAATGTATCCACCGGAGGCTGCCTCCATGAGTGGTGTGAGGCCCGTTTTAGCGCGGTGTTCAACATTTGCCTTGCGGTCCAACAACAAACTCACCACTTCGTGTCTACCTTGGAAACATGCGAGCGTTAATGCGGTATTGCGGTTCGTTTCGATTTGCGCATTTATATCGGAACCCTGGTCGAGTAGCAACTTAACGGCGGCTGTATGCCCATTCATGGCGGCCAACATTAAGGGCGAAATACCCAATTTGCTACCGGTGCGTGAGTTAATTTCTGCGCCATGGTTCAATAGTAATTTTATAATATTCACATAACCACCACTGGCTGCCAAACTGAGTGGCGTATAGTCGGAAACATTCCGATGCTCTTTGTTGGCGTTGTGTTTTAGCAAAAGCTCCACCACTTCGTAACGGCCGCCAGAGCAAGCCAACGAAAGTGGCGTATCCTTGGTTCGTTCTGATTGTGCCTCCAGTTCGGCGCCATGTTTTAGCAGTATCTCCACGACCTTCTCATGGCCAGCCGTTGCGGCTAGTATTAAGGGTGTAAAGCCTTTTTTGTCTCGATGCTCAATGTTTGCGTTGCGATTGAGTAAGAGTTGAACGAGTTCCTCGTGGCCACCGGCACAAGCCAATGTAAGCGCGGTGTCGTGATTTGAATCTGTCTCCGAGTCGACATCGATAGTCTTGTCGAGTGTGGTAGTAGCAACAGTTTGTTGGTATTGTTGCTGATTTGTGGTGTTAGCTAACGGAGAAAGAATTTCAAAAATAGGCAAATCGACATTTCTCAATCGCAAAAAAAAAGTGTAGTAAAGTAAAATAACTTAAAATAAAGACAAAGGCAAATTTGCATTGCAATTTTAAGGACACTTTCCTATGTTTAGTATTCCAATAGTTATTATGTTAGAAAGTACTTTAAAAATGTTCATCCGGGGTTGTGAACTATTAATGCCGTAAAGATTCTTTCCCCAATTGAATCTTATCGATATTTGTCTTAAACAAGTATTGTCCTTATCGCTTCTACACCTACCTTGACTGCCTGCTGGCGTTTGACGCAGCGCTGCATAACGATTTCGCTCCTTACGCGACTGCTTATCGATGGCTTTCTTTGCAATGCCACCAGATATTTTCGATGATGTTATCATAGGCGGTGCTGGTAGTTGTTGTGCTGCAGCGGCAGCAGCGGCTGCCATTTGTTGTTGTTGCGTTGAAAGTGCACATACACCAAGTCCAACATCTGACGCTAGGGGTGAGATGGTCGCATGAAATTGTGTGGAGCCGCGTGCAGCAACTGTCGCCGCGCTGCTGTAGGGAGCAGAGACCGGTGGTTGCGTTTGGGTGGCAACTTGAACCTGTATGGAATAAAGATTTCGTATTGAGTATCGTTTTGAGAACGAGCAAGAAATGTTATATTTTTTTTTTTTGTAATTTAATGAACTCAAGTTTGTGCTGGAATTTTTAAGCTTCCACGTGCTTCTTCTTCATAGGCGTATTACCATCTTTTTGGATTTTGGCCGAGTCCAGTAAGTCATGAGAATACAAAAAGCGTTGCATGTCAACTCTTACCTGTTGTTGTTGCTGTTGCTGTTGCTGCTGCAGCTGCTGTTGCTGCTGTTGCAAAAGCAATTGCTGCTGTTGCAGATGGTGCTTCTGTTTGAGTACCTGCTGATGCAACGCATGCTGCTGCAACAAAAGGTTACTTTGCGCCACCTGATCGAGCGTTGTAGCTTGCTGCTGCTGCTGTTGTTGTTGTTGTTGCTGCTGCATTAGACTCTCAGCCTGCTGCGAGAAATCATGCAATAGCTGTTGCTTCTGATTCTCCGGCAACTCTTGCAGCTGCAAGTGTTGTAGTTGCTGTGCAGCATCGTGCACATCTTGTTGTTGCTGTTGTTGGTGCTGATGTTGTACCGACGGTGGTAGCTGGAATAGCAGCTGCAGCGACTGTGCCGATTTGTCACCACTCTCCACATTGAAGACATAATTGGCAGCGGCGGCTACTGCTTGTTGTTGGTGTTGCTGCTGCTGCTGCTGTTGTTGCTGTTGCTGGTGCTTTTGTTGTGGCTGTTGGTGTTGCTGGGCGGCGCAGGCAGCCAATGCTTTGCGCAAGCGCTCACTTGATTGTCGGTCCTGCTGCAATTGCTGAATCATGTGCAACTGGCGGTGCTTCACCTCCTCCTCATCCTCTTGGAGTATAAGTTGTTGGTGTTGTTGCATTTGTTGATGCTGCTGTAGTAGGAAATCACCTTGATGTGGCAGTGGCTGTTGCATTTGTTGATGTTGCGCCGCAGCAGCGGCTGCGGCTGCATCATCTGACGGAAGTGGCAAAAACGAAAATGTCTGGTGGTGTTGGTGCTGCAGCAAATTTAGGTAAATACAAAATCGTGTTATTCAATTGATACATTTTTGCTTGCATTTGGTTGCAGTGTGATTTCAAAAGAAGTAAGTCTATATCAAATGTTAGGTTAAGCCAAATTCAAGTAATCTTAAGCTTTTTGAAAACATTGTGAGTTATTCATGCCAGTACTGTCTGTCTGTCTGTCTGTGTGTGTGTGTGTGTGCGTGTGCGTGCAGCAGTTCAAAATTGGTTAGTTGGGGCATACCTGCATTTGTTCCCCCATTTGCAGCTCATGTTGATATTCGAGGAGCATTTGATTAGTTGCCTGGCGTTGTTGCTGCTGCTGTTGGTCTTCGACCGAGAGCAGTGCTTGCTGATGCGTCGCCATCAAGTGATCCTGGCTGGTCCACTTCGGCGTCGGCACCCAGTTGCTGCTAAAGCGGTTCTTGCAAATCGAATTCAGGTCGCCCAGTTCGGCACAATTATGCAGCTCCTAGATAATAATAATGACAAAAAAAACTACATAACAACAACAGCAACAACAACGCGCGAACGAAAAACACTTAATATTCTTTTCCAAAAGCAAAAAATATATGTATATTGATGAATTTTGAGCGCGTTTCAAGCCATTTAAATTTATTCCATTAGGACTGCTAATTCGATCGGTATCTTTTGAAAATTCGGATATTCGAATATCTGATTAAAAACATCACAAAAAATAACAGAATTAACGGTTATTGACCGGATAACATAATATAACGGATATTAACCGGATATCCAGATTTCATCCGTATACATACATGAATAGCCGAACGAATATTGGAATACACCGATAGTGCTCGCAAAGATTTCTATGAGTCTAGTTGACAACAACCTCTCCACTACCCTTGTTATTGAACGAATGTATATACCAAAGTATTTCGTTCTAGCTCACCAAGTCATTGCCCCAACCATTGCCAAAGTCCCTAGCGTCATAGACCACGCCAGAAGAGTGGCGAGGTAATGCCAATCCTCTCTTTCTCAGAGTCGGAAGAGGACCAATCTCTTGCAGGGGATGTCGGTCGAAGAGTAGCTCGCTGCCAACGACCCTCCAATGACGGAGTTGATCGTCTTTCACAAACCAAGAGGGAAAACCTTTTTTTGTGGCTGACCGAACTCCTCCTGTAGCTGCATTCAGTAAGCGGTCCAGGTCTATGGAGGTTACTCCAGAAGCCAGTGAGACCGTTATGCCCTCGAAGGTAGGCCAGGCCACCTTATTGTGAGCCCGTAAAAGGCCCTCCGCTTCTTGCCGTAATGGGAAGAGCGGCTTACACTCTTCAAATGACTACTGCGGAAATTAAACACTGCCATCTGATCCGGGACGTCATTGCCTCCGGAACTGTAGGCAATGCGCGTTCATAAGAGAGGGGGTGGAACCATTGTGGTGAAATGCCTCCCCCAAGCTAACTGGGATTGGCGTAAGGCTGTGGAGCATAGAATACCGCGCAAACAGGTTTCACTGTTTACAGAGCCAATTACGAATAAGAGAGCGAATTGCGTGCAAAGGGAACGTAGTATAATTCGCTCTGCGAAGAGGGACTCTTTTAAAGGGTACTGCAGTGGGATTGAAACCTTGAGTCAAACAGCTAGGCTGGTAAAAGTTCTGAAGAAGGACCAAAACACAAAGCTGCGTTCACTCAAGAGGCCTGATGGCTCTTTAACGGCGACTACGATTGAGACAATCTCTTTTCTTCTGGAGACTCACTTTCCTGGGAATCAGGCGATGGTTACGCCTTCCTGTTCCTCGACTGGTGAGGTAGGGCATGCCAGAACCACAGTGTCAAGGTACATCTGGTTTGTTGCCAGAACTATGGCTAATGAAGGTGCCCTAAGATATGCATCCTAGCTATTGTACTTAAAGAAGGTGTTGAGTTTTATTTGGCGGCTTTGAAAAAGATTTTCCCAGCATCTCTTGCACTTGCCTACCACAACCTTGGAATCTGGTTGATGTCGCCTTCGTACTAATAACCCTAAGGTTGTTAAGGATGATTATACTAGCCCCAGAAGCTAAAGGCCTACTAGCATGACATACTTCATGTTGAAATGTCTGGTCAACATGCCTAGCAGCCGCGGCATTCCTGTGAGACGGATTTGCAAAATCTAGTTGCCAGAATTCGCTTTGGTCGTATTTGTAGACATTGAGGGCCAGTTTTTCAGTGCCACTTTAAACTTAGATTAAGTAAACTGAGTTTAAATTGAATAACTGGCTGACATATGATTGGCTGATCTTAGTTTAAACCAGACAGATCGGGCGTTTAAACTTAATTTAAAAAACTTGCCCTGAGGGTGCTCTTTTGACAATGCCACCTTCGATAGCATGTGCGATTCTATGTCAATATGACAGTAAAAAAAAATCCGGCGCATGACAGCAAAGTCTTGTGAATTTTGATTTTTCGCTATGTGACATTTTCAAAGAGAGATGCCGCTCTCATTTCATGTGAGTATTTACCCATAGTCTGCTCCATGATAAAAAACATAACAAGGTAAAACCCATGATAAAAACATAACAAGGTAAAACCCATGATAAAAACATAGCAAGGTAAAACCATTGAGAGGCAGTCTGACGTTTGCCAACAATATAATTTTAAAATTAACAACTCAAACTCACACACACACATTCTCATTTTCAATCTCAAATAACAACAATTGTGTACAATTTTATTTTTTTGTTTTAAATTTTATATGATTTTAAAATGCTTCCAAATGTCAGAAAAAAAATTATGGCCGACGAATTGAGAGAATGAATTTACCTTGTAATGTTTTTTGATCATGGTCTGTTCCAGTACCCATCAGATTTACTGAGAGGTCCTTCGGATACATACATTATTATTGTCGAAATAAAGTCGATTATAAAGTTAATTGTTGTTGGGGCTTTTAATACGCTTTCTTCGGTTATATCTTCCTAACAAAATCCTGGAGTACTGGAACAGACTAACTGATTACATTGAACAGTAGGCAATGCTGATTCTGGTAGATTATGCGCTCTATGCAGAGTATAATTACACCTCTGCCCTCACATGCGCTGCTTGTCTATGCCCTGCACTTGCAATGTAAGCAGAACCAGCGCTTTAGTTTAGTCAATTTATACACGCAATCGCATGTAATATAATTTAATTGGTGGCCCAAAAAGTGGCAATGTGAACACACTGTAATAAAATTGTGATGAGCTGAAATAATTCCCTACCACGCAAAAATACTAACGTTTGGGTTTTATATGAGCACCTAAAATGTCTCTTCCAGGTCTCAATGACCCTGATATGTACATAAATATGTATGTACATATTTTCTTCATTTCAGTGGAATTTCATTTATAATTTAACAAGTAATCCATGAAGTTGACACCAACAAAAACTTTTCTTATTTTAAACTTCGCGTACCCCAAAAATTTTAATATTTAAGCCGCGCAAAAGTAACGCAAAGTTTATACATTTCCACTGAATCACCAATGGTTTTACCTGCAATGATGGATCATTTTGGAATAACTGCAATATATCATCCATATCTCCTGGTATATCCGCAGCAAAATTGTCGAACGATTCCAGCGCTGGATACATGCCTGCAGCGCTAATGACACCGGTTGATCCATCAACATCTACAGAAACACAGAAAAGATTGCATTGGTTAAGTATATTTGTGTGTATCAGTATTGATTTTGAAATAAATAAATAATTAAATAAATTTATATTCTATATAAATTTGGTTGAGTTCAATACCTGATGAGTTCGAATAACGTAAAGTCAAAGCTTTAACATACGGCAACGATGATCCGAATTAACTCGGACTAAATCTGGATCAACTGCAGTTAATTCCCGAGTTGATCCGGATCAACGCTGCCGTCTGTTTATGCTTAAAATTTCATGTGCAGTGCGTAAGTATATTTCAGAGAAAATAAAAGCTGTATTTCACTAGCAGGCCGATTCTATGCTGGTAACAAAAATGTTTAACCGGTAAACAAAGTTTCCGCTAATTTTTAAACCTTTTTCGCATTCTGTGCGCTCTTTTACAATTTTCGGCAATTTATGTTGGAACTATTTTTTTTTTTTATATGAAAAAAATGCGGAGCACCGTCAACCAAAAAAAAAAAAATAAATAAAAATAAAAAAAATAAAAAAAAAATTGCTAACAAAACGGTAAGAAATTGATGTCAAATTTTCATAATTTTTTAGCAAAGTCTGATATTTGGATTTATATCGTGTTGGTTAAGTAATCAGCTATACTTTCATAAAAAAAATAATAAACATTAAATAAGCTAAAGAAAAATAGCCAAAACTTACTTAAATGTCACGTCCCAGTTTTTATTTGGTTCACTGTATGTGTATCTCGGTACACGATTTATCAATTTGTGCCGAACTCAGTGCAATTATAGACCTTGGCATAAAAAAGCTAAATATTGAAAATTTTGAAAATCGGACTAAAATTACCCCCACTTTTCACTTCCAAAAAAAAAAACGCGGAAAAACGTGTGCGTTGCTTTAAAACGTTGCACCACGTTGGATTTCGTATTCTAGCAGCTAAGGAACAGACACTAGAAATTTCAGACATGTGCTCACAATAAAAAAAAATAAAAATCACAAAAAAATTCGAATTTGTGAGAATTGCCCATATGTAAATTGAGCCCTAACCGCCAAAAAAAAAACGTAGACGTGTTTCTTTTAGATACAGAAATGGATCTATTTACATACATATTTAGATGCTCTACGAAAACTTTTGCATCCAAAAGAAAATTTAAGAAAATTGCCAAGTAAATTAATTAGGATGAAAATTTATCTAACACTGTTGTTTTCAGTGACAAAAAATTATAATTTAAGTAAGTTTATTAACTGAACATTTTTTTTTTTATTATGCTTGAGACCGTTATTATTGGAAATTTTTGTGGAAAATTAAAATATTTCAAAATAAATCGTCACTAGGCCAGAAAATAACAAAAACAAAATACATATTGAAAATTTTTCGTTAAGAAGCTAAGGAGCAAATTAA